TAGTCCCCCAAGTCTTCAGTCAATAGAGTCTTTTGGCTAGAGACTTCAAACCCAATCTATGTACGGGCTGAAGTGGCTAGATGTCTTGAACCAGTACTCAACCTAAGGCAATGCTCAACATAAAGCAATACTCAGCTAGAGGTATCACACGTTACGAAACTGCTCAGCTGGAAGCTATGCTCGTTGCGAGGCTGCTCGGCTAGAGGCTATGCTCACGGCGAGGCGTTTGCTCGGCTGGAGGCAATCCTCGTTGTGAGGCAGCTTGGCTAAAGGCTATGCTCGCTGCGAGGTGGCTCGGCTCATGGTATTCCTCATTGCAAGTATCTATGTTATGTCGGCATGCACTCAGTATGAGTTGATTCTCGACATAACTCGAGTCCGTTTGTCGGGTTCGCATATTGGGTCTATGTGTCGGGTCCGCAAGTCGGGTCTTTGAGTCGGGGCCATACGTAGGGTCATCGAGTTGGGTCCAGGCACATAGGTGTCCCAATAAGCGAATGTCCAAGTAAGTGGGTGTCCGGTCAAACAAGAGATCACCATGAGCACGTGGCTCATCAGTTTATAAGTTGGTAAACTTCTTTAATCAGTAACAATGTTGATCAGTGGATCTAGTTGCTCAATAATTCCTGACAATAAATGATAGTATAAGTATGACCGTATAATGAATAAATCAATTTGACAAAGTTTGTCAAGGTAAAATATTGTACTATGTGCCTTCTATAAATAAATAATTTATTCAGTCGTGTGGTAAATCACATGTTATTTAAGCGACATAGCTTAATGGCAGTCACAATATTCTAGGTCAATAAATAAATATTGCACAAGTAATTGCCTAAATATGTAGGTCACTAGTGAAATATGATAGAAAGCATTCTGAGCATACGTGACTATTGTATCATGTAATCTTAATATAATGACAATAGGGAGACATACAATATATTATATAAATATATTTTCATTCAAATAATGAGGATACCTAATTTGGTCAAACCATGCCACAAGTTATGGGAAATAGTCATGTTGAAAATAAAATATTTAAATAATAAATGTAGTGTTCATGAATGATTAAAGTTGGCAATGTTAAGTTGTGTGTCAAACAAGTGGTCTTGTAATAAGCATTCGGTAATAATAAAATAATAAATAAATAATTTGAGAAAACATAATGATGTTTTCTTTCATGGCCGATAATTTCAAGGGTGAAAAGTAGATACATAATGCAGACTAGCTTGTATATTTTCGACTGCCGACTCACGTTCACTTTCAGCAAATAAAATACAAAAGAAAACGTAAAGATATCATGCTGTTTGTGGGGAAGGTTTAAAGCAAAAGTTGGGAGGTATTCATTTTAAGTAAAGATACCTAATCCGTGGAGGTAAGTTTCACTTTCAACTTTATTACTCCACTAGCAATAGTGAAAGCTCTCGTGGAGTGTCAGCAATCATGTAAGAGATGGACTGCTTATCCAATAGAAATAATATAAAATATGTAATAGGCATCTTCACCGGGCAAATATGTAATAAATAATATAAAATAATAATAAGACATTTAAATAAACAGAAATAATTTGTAGAAGATGGAGTGCTTATCTTCTCCGACGTAGACAAGGCGTAGGTCTCTTGAGATTACGTCTAGGGAGTAGTCGTCATCGGAGGCGAGCTGGAGGAGCTGCGGAGCTGAAGGCACCACATGCAACTGTTGGGCCCACATGTAGATGTTTGGGCATTCGGCGTTGGCATCATCATGTAGGGTTACGCGGGCTGCGCGGGTTGAAACCCAGAACCGACTTCAGGGAGTGGGAGTAAAGCGAGAAAGTGGAGGCATTGTCGACTGCAATTTGCACCTACACTGCCGTTCCTAGGCCCACCCACGGCCGTCGGGTGCCTGCTGTAAATGCCACCATTGGTGGTGGGTAAAAAACAGGCTTCAGCTCAGAAGCAAGAAGAAGGGTACGAGTAGCAGAAGATGAAGGCGGTGATTAGTTTGTCTAAGTTTTAATGGCGAGTTGTTGGTCGGGTCGAAGGCGTCGAATTGGATTGAGTAGTAAGGGGCAGTATACACAACGTTGACAGGCTCGGGCCCGCCAGGAGAAGTGAGAGCATACAGGGTAGCCTGATACAGCTGAGTCGACCATGTCCACATCATGATATGCTGATCACCGTCTACGACGGCATTTCCAACCGTACGATGAAGTCTTCTGACCACCGCCTCCAATGTTGGCTTTAAAAACCAACACACGCTGGTGAAGTCGCTGATATAGCTCATCAATTCGCTTCTGGAGATCACCATAGTACACTTGTCGCCCATCTTGCTCCAATAGGATCCGTACACTGCCAAGTCGCCCTGTTCAAGATTGAGGACATGGTCGGATGGAGGTATTGTGCCGCCGTTACCATTGGTCAGGGACACAGAGAAGGTTTTGCTATTGGAAGTAGGGTTCTCCGTGGTGCCACACCTTGTCTCTGTTGCTCTAACAAAACACAGCTATTAATTTGTCTTCAGTTTTTTATGTGGCTCTATTCTCTCTCTCTAAAGTCTCAAAGTTGGGGGATTTGATGGATGTCTACAGAGAGAGTCGGGAAAGAAATAGGGAATGAGTCTGTGTCTTTGTGTGGGTTTTGCAGATCCCCAGCGAAGGTGAAAAATTGAGAGAGAACCAACATAGCTTTTCGTGTCGTTTCCCACAGACGGCGCCAAATATTGATGCACAAAACCGGAAGTCTTGGAACAACGTAAATCTGACCGTGAATCTGCAAGAAATGTAAATAACACAAGATGTATTGTTGTTCACCCCAATGTTTGGGCTACGTCCACACTGATTGTATTTTTCTGACTGTATGTATGGATTACAAGGGTGAGGGGGAGTCCCCTAGAGAAAGAGAGTGTTGTTGCGTTTGTGAGGGTATTGCCCTCTGTTGGGTTCACCGAGTCCTCTTTGTGAGGGGGGAGGAGTCCCCTTTTATAGAATAAGGGGTTCCTCATTTTACATAATTATGGGCTGGGTAATGAGGCCCAAATGTTGAGGCCCAATGTGTCAAGGTCTGAGGCCCAATATGTGTGGTACCAACAAGTTTCGTAGAATGCGTATTCCATCAAAACAATAGATTCACTAATATTTAAGAGTTTATTATACTTTCATTAAGTATAACATAAGATTTTGTGGTATCCACTAATGTAAATATTTTAAATTAAGATCGAGTTCATTCATTGTATTTGTATAGGATCAAGGAGTATAGCTGTAAAAAGATAATCAAAATCGGAGTTAAAATAACCATTAAATCATGATTTTTCGCTTATAATCGTTGAAAAGTTTTGTCCCGTTACTTAATCTCTGAATGTTTTTTTTTTTGCGATTTTGGCGTATGCGATCTTGAAGCATATACAAACATGTTTGACAGTTAGATCGTTAAGACTAGTTTCGTAGAATGTGTATCCCATCAAAACAATAGATTGACTAACACTTAAGAGTTTATTTATACTTTCATCAAGTATAACGAAAGATTTTATGGTATCCATTAGTGTAAATATTTTAAATTGAAGATCAAGTTCATTCATTGTATTCATATAGGGTCAAGGAGTGTAGTTGTAAAAAATCATCAAAATCAGAGTTAAAACTACCATTAAATCGTGATTTTTCGTTTATAATCGTCGAAAAGTTTTGTCCTATTACTTGATCTCTAACTATTTGTTTTTTGTGATTTTTGATGTATGCGATCTCAAAGTATATAGAAACAAGTTTGACAGTTGGATCGTTGAAACTAATTTCGTAGAATGCGTATCCCATCAAGTTCAATGGTATATATATTTATTAAGTAGTTTTAAATTTATTTATTTTGTACGTATAATACTTAAGAAATTGAATAGTATGTATATTTATTAAGTAGCTTTAAATTTATTATTGTAGTTCGGATGAGGTTTTTGTTAGAAAAATATATTATTGTGGGTTTTATGTAAAAAAAAATTGAATTTGAATGGACTAAAGTCACATTTTTAGTAAATTTTATAATAATAATTTTTTTAAATATAACTTGCGCGTCGCGACAATGGGGTCTTTGCGCAAAAACACTTTGCGCAACATCAGAATGTACACCTGCGTCGCAGAAGTTGTTAAAATTGTGGCGGTCCAATTGTAAAAAATAAGCGTTTGTTTTGAATTTTCCCAAATTACTCTGGACAAAATTGAAAAGAGTCCTTCCTCCTCATCTGACTACCTAATCTTGCCCTCTCTCTCACTCCGTCTTGCGTAGCCTTACTCACGACTGCACCCAGCTAAACTCCTCCTCATCCTTTCTCCTCATCCTCTCCCATAGCCTTCCTCCTCGTCTTCCGATCAGCCTCCAAGCCCCAACAGCTCTCCCATGACGACGAAGACTTCGATTCCAATTGCGTTGAGATTAAACACGAACTAGAGGACGACGACTCTGATTGCGTTGTTATTAAGAGCAATTCCAGCATAGGAGCCCTTCGCTAGGCTATTCATTATTCAATTCACCTAGTTAACGGTAACTGATTTTAATAAACAATAACTACCTTTTGTATCTCTACCGTTGCACTTGAATAGCCTGGTAATAGGCAATAAAATAATAGTAATATTTTTATTTATAAAATAATACAAAGAAAGAAACAGAAAAAATGAGAGGCCTTGCGGCGGCGAGGGCATGACCCAGTTCGTGGACAGTGACTGAAATCACCGTGGACGAAGAAGCTTCCATGGAAGAGATTGAGAGCTCTGCCGAGCTCCCATATGAGGAGGAGGGAGATGGAGAAGAGCAAGGTTAAACCGAATCCGACGCCGACGGAGAACCAAGCCCTGAGAATCCGGCAATGGGTCTTGCCGAAATGGAAGAGGGGTTCGTTGAAAGCCCAGAATTTGAAGTTGCAGTAGTAGCAGGAGACGGTGGTCGCGGGAGGAGGAAGCGGCGGAGATGAGTTTGCAGGGGAGTGAGGGGTAGATATTTTAATATCCCAAATCAAATAAAATCTGCACCCAAATTTTCAAATCCAATCCAGCTGAAAAACGGGTTCCAAATTTTGTCAATTGTGGGTTTTGGAGAAACAAAGAAAAAGAGACATCAGAGAGGAACCCAGAAGAAAAAAAGGTCAGAAATTTTACAAGGTATGTTGTCTGCATGTCCGTTCTCGTCACCGGCACAGTCGGTTTCGTCGGAACCCACGTCTCCGTGGCCCTAAAAAAGCGTGGAGATGTCGTCCTGACGTCAGCCCATGTCAGACTGCCTTCGGGCGCTCGGGCCGGCACGAATTGACGAGCCTGGCGCTCGAGCCTGCTCGAGCTCCCTCGCCAGCCAATGTTGGGTTTCCTCCCTCGGGCAATCCAGCCCTGTTCCGGAGCCCGTCCCTCGAGCAGGAGCTCCCGCTGGAGCTGCTCTAAGAACGAATTGAAGGAAGACGATGCGGACGAGGCCCCGGAAGCCAGGCTGGTCAATCGTGGACGTCGGTTCCTGGTTGAGGACGAGGATAGTGATGGGGATTGGGCTAATATTGAGTCAACGAGTGAGGAAGAGGAGGATGAGGTAAAGGAGTTGGAGGACGACGACGTGGTTGGGAAGGCTTTGCAAAAGTGTGCCAAAATATCGACGGATTTGAGAAAGGAGCTCCACGGGAGTTCGGCTCCGGCGGTTTCTGATCGGTACGCCGAAGTGGAAGCTGCCCCTGTGAGGATTGTCAATCAGGTGCCCTTTCTTGCTTTTACTGAGCTTCTTGTGGTATGAATGACATAGAGTTGGAAAACTCTTACCTTTACTCATTCATAATTGGGCTAAAAAATTTGGTATTCCTTTGTTTCCAATGTAATTAGTGAAATAAGGAAAATTACTGGCCAATAGAATGTAGCTGTATAAAAGTACGGTTCTTTTATGTCATGAGTATTACTTGCGTGAAGGTTTTGTATTTCATTTCAGTATGTGTTGAGAGGTCCTCATAAATGGGGGTAAGGCTAGCCGACATTCACCTCTCCCAGACCCTGCGTAAAGCGGGAGCCTTGTGCACTGGGTACGACCTTTATGTGTTGAGAGGTCCTCATAAGCATAAAATTGGCTACTTTCTGTTGTTGTTGCTGGTGTTGTATCGTCTTTCAATTGGATTGTCAAGTGATGGTTACTGGTTATTTGTTGTAGGATGACATTATTGAGGCTTGTAGGTCTAAAGATTCCGATTTTCAACCTATTCTCAAGCCATATCAGTTGGTTGGTGTTAACTTTCTTCTTCTGCTGTATCAGAAGGGTATTGGTGGAGGTACTTATGTTTTTTTGTTCTTTGTAAGCATAATTTTGATTTTACTTCTACTTTAGAAAGTAATTCCCCGTGTAAAAATGTATGATTGTGATAAATTTTGATTCTCTAGACTCTGAGTAGTACAAGATCTTAAACTGTGTGACTAATAAATTCAGATCGCCGAATGGAACTTCATTAGTCATTTTACTACTGCATGATTCTGAAATGTTAAGCTTAAATGTTCTTAGATCACAATAGTTCAAAAATTTCCAACTGTATTGTTAAATTTATGAGGCCAAGTGTATAAGCATATATGGCTTGGTTTAATCTCAATTCTGATTCATTGCAGTTTAATATCCTTTACATTTTGTGCAACCATTTTGGCCGACGAGATGGGTCTCGGGAAGACCATTCAAGTACCTGCATGTCCTTTCTCGCATATGCCAATAATATTTTCAGCTTTGGTTTGTAATATTTGTCCTTGCTGAACAATCTATAACATACTTGATGCTATTGAAACATTTAAATGATGACCCGAGTCCACATTTGATTGTATGCCCTGCTTCTGTTTTGGAAATTTAAAGAGAACTTAAAAAGTGGTGCCCATCATGTAAGAAACCTAATTGGACTAAACTAAATTGTATAAGGAAGAAATGCAGTTGCCAATTGTTCAAACTGGTGGGAGTTGTAAACATGTAAAACTGCTTCCTATGATCAAGGAATATGTGGTGATTGTGATCAGGAAACAACTTGCAACCAATATGCATGTTCAAACTGGACGCATTGCTCTTTTGTCATTCTAGAATTGGTAGTCATGGTTGCTTCAGTTTCACAAACGATGATCGATATCTGGTTGAAATTCGGTATCTTATTGAAATTAGCTTTTTGATATCTATTTGATATTCATGTTGCAACCAATATGCATAGACTTGTAACAGGACCTCAATTTTTCTCCGAAAAGAACTTTTCTTCGAATAACATACCTTGATATCAAACGTATCCTTAACCTTGAGATTTATCACTACTAATATATGTAGTGTATGGCTGGGAACATACCTACATGTATGCTATCTGCCCCACTGTTTAAGACTTAGTCATTTTAAATTATGAACAAAGACTTGATTTATTATGCAATTAGCCTTCCTGAGATTCGTAAAGAGTATTGATCATAAGTCATTTGAATTACCTAATAAATAAACCCTGGGTTTATAGTCTTCGATTTTAACAATTCATGCTCATGCCCATGGTTATCATGAATGGTTTTTGTTCCGAATAATGATTATTGGGTGCCTTTTGAAATTGTTGGGTTCCAAGAACCTCGGGATTAATTACTCGTATATATACAAGAATGGTCTATGCTTCTAGCATCTACCATTGCATGAAGCGATGGCTTTATTTCCAAATAGTCATGCAATCTCAAGTTATGGTTATTTAACTATAAATTAATTATTTTATATACTTGGTCAGTTTCTTGCCATGCATTTAATTTTCAGTTTGGAAAGTAAAGAATATTTGCGTATTTCTTGTTTAACTAACCCAGAATATACATGATTATGGATTTACGGTTTTTGAAATGATTCTTTTCCAAAAAGATTGACGTCTAAGTGGTTGTCATCCCAATTGTGGAACGAGTGCATGTGTTGCTTTGTGTCCTTGCGAATGGCAATTGCAATGCAAAAAACAATGGATGATGCACAAAACAGGGATTTGATTGATTTGAAATTCTTGGATAGTCATACATTGCTGGTTGGCCTTTATACAATTGTTTGTGATTATATTTGTTTGCATTAATGCTTTTATTTGTAAGTCTTATTCAAGAATGATGGCAATGTAAAACAACTAAGGCTGCAACATTTGGAACAAATAATCATGCTATTTTAACTATTGGACAAATGTTTATTAAATCTTTACCAAAGTGAGATTTTATGGAAATTTTGGTTTGTGCGCTGTTCTCTGTTTGGCAGCATATAGGATGGTGGAAGAGATTATATTGCATACTTGTGCCGAAACCATTCAGGAAGTAAGTGATGCCTTTATTAGATTATCTTCTTGATGTGACTTTGATTATTAACTTCAGTTTGAACTCGATGTTGTGTTATGTTAAAGCAAGGTAAAAAGGTTATTCTTACACATCATTCACTGTTCTCCAGTATCATGGGGCTGCACGATCGGCATATTCAAAAGAGTTGAACTCTTTGTCCAAAGCTGGATTACCGCCTCTTTTTAATGTTATTCTCGTGTGTTATTCACTATTTGAAAGACACAAGTTTGCTTTGGTGTTGCATATGGACAATTGAAAGTAATTTAGATTTTATGTTGATTTAATTCCTTTTACTTATGGTCTTCCAGTGCACAGCAGAAAGATGATCGTAAAATTCTGAAACGATGGCAGTGGAGTTGTGTGCTTATGGACGAGGCTCATGCTTTGAAGGACAAAAATAGCTACAGGTGGAAAAACCTAATGTCCGTTTGCACCAGCTTCTAATGCTGACAGGGACACCTCTACAAAATGATTTACATGTATGACTTTTTACCCCTTGAAATCTTATGGAATGTTTCTGAGGTCCTAGATCATAAGCTTGGTCGTCGTCATGGCAAGGTTGTTCGGTGTATGGGGAAGGCGCGAGTTCGTGAGACGGGTGCCTTCTCTTCCAGATCGACCACATGACAGGTCATCGCCTTAACGGAGGAAGCGGCAACCCTAAAAGGTCAAGCTTGCGGCCCAACAAGTAGCCTGGGAGGCCGAAGCAGTAACCCAGGAAGCCGAGATTGCAGCCTAGTTATCGCCCATGACAATAAGATGAGTATGATCTTACGGGACTTACAGATGTCCAACCTTCAAATCCCGATGCCATCACCTAATCTTGCTCCAACTTCGACTCCCAGCCACTTCGCCCAGTTAATACCCAGTAGCCTGATGCATCAAGCCTAGAAGACTACTTGTATTTTTTTCTTTTATGTTCGAACATCTTGTATGTACATTTTCATATATTTTATAATTAAATATTTTTTCTTGGTTTATTAATTATTGTTTATAATCTAATTACAATACTTATAAAAAAATTAAATAAAAAATATTTTTGCCAAAAAAGAAAAATAAAAAAATAGACTTTGTGCAATGCAGGTTACTTTTTCGTCGCGCAAAAGCTCTTTGCGTGACACAAGTTCTATCATTGCGCAGTCCTTTTGCACGACGTAAGTGCTGTCGTCGTGCAAAAGCTCTTTGCGCGACACAATTCCTGTCGTTGCGCAAAATCCTTGTACGCAACGCAGGTTCTATCGTCGCGCTTTGCGCGACGCATGTTATCCATTCGTCACACAAACCATGCTTTAACTGACTTTGCGTGACGGTTTGCACACAACGAAGATGTCGTTGGGCTAATTTTCAAACAACGTTTTTTTACTTTGCGCGACGAAGGTACCTGTATCGCTCAAACTGTTTTTTGTACTAGTGTTCAGATATTGCAAAAGATAATGGGGATCCTTAACCAAAAACGATGAAAGAAGCGACTTTGTAAATCTCTCTTGGGATAAGGATATATTAAAAACCCAATATGACCATGTGTTGCTTTTAAAAGATCTTTTCATTTTTGCAACATATGTAAATGATACACAAAGGCCATTGATTATTTAACGAAGGAATTCAAAATGAAAATCCTGGAGAGAGTTTTGCCTTGGTCTGCAGATCAAGCATTTGCCAACTGGAATCTGTATCCACAATCAGCAAGCTGCTCAATTTGAGAAAGACTCCTCATCTGTCCACTTGTCATCCTCTAATTGATTTTTAGTTGTACAAGTCTTCTCCGGTTATCAAGTGACTTTAGGCCTCGTTTGGCAGCTCGGACTGTACTGACTATTTCTGTCGGATAGGATAAATAGTCATCGGATAGTACTGACTAAATTAGTCGGGCGTTTGGTGCAGTATCGGACTAATGACCGTATTATTTATACTGGGTTTAGTATTATACCGGATAGAAGGAATCAAACTTAAAATAAAATTAAAAAAAAAAAAGCTGAAATCATCTCTCTTGTTCCAGATCTCTCCGCCGCACCCCCCCCCCCAAACTCCCTCCCTTTCTATCCCTTCTTCTTCTTCCTCGTCTGCTCCCCTGAACTAAACCCCACCACAAAGGCAGCAACAAGAAACCCAACAAAACCCACCTTTCAAATTCTCATCGTTTTTTTCCCAATCCTTCTCTTTTTTTTAGCTACAAATCAACCCAGCAAAAAAACACACCACAAACCAAGAAAATTCACACAAAGGACTTTGTTTTCTATTTGTCCTAAAAAACAATTGGAAGGAAATTCACGGAGGACACCTTTTTTTCAACAAACCAAGAACACTCATCGGAGAGAAAAATGGGGCTGACTGATTTTGGGCATTAGGTTGGGGAAAAGCATTGACAAAATTCGATTTGGAGGAGGGGAAGAGCTAAGTGATGCCTCCAGTTGGCGAATTCCTCAGCTTCCATCTGCCCCTTTCTGTATATCCCTGTGGAATATGTTGTTTCGCTATTGGTCTCCTTTTGTCTCTCTCTCACTCTCTTCTTTGTTCCTCTGTGTGCTTTCCGTCGGACGAGACGGGAAATTAGTCGGCGAATGACTGCAGAGGAGTGGCGCCTGGGGTGGAGAACTCGTCGAGGAACTGCTCGAAGGCCCACTTTGAGATGTCGTTAACGGCGGCTTCGTGAAGTTGGAAAGGACAGCGCCCCGACTAATTATCCTGAGTTTTTGGGCTGTTTTAATAGTACGGTGTCAACCGTATAAAATTTGATGGGCCGGATAATTAAGCGGGTGCTTATTTAGTACGAGAGTGCACCAAACAACTGCTCCCGTATTATTTATCCTATCCGATGCTTTATACGGCATGCCAAACGAGGCCTTAAAGTTTAATGTTATCAAAAGACGTACTTGTGAAAATCTCATAGCATTCACCCTTGTACTTGAGTCACGATATTTTAGACTATTCTGGTGTGAGAGATTTGCAACTAACTAGGAATTTGGACTAAATGTAGCTACAAATGTACTACAAAGAATTAGATATCTACATGATGATTCCAAAGATAAAAACAACAGATCTACAAGTAACTCATTCCAAGTACTCATTTGCAAACCTTGCATTGTATAATTCGTATCCACTCATGTTCGTATTCCTTTCTAACTATATTTAGTCAAATCTAATGCACGAGTAAATAGTTTGAGCCAATACCTTTGGAGCGAGTTGTGGGACATGACACTAGGACGTGGCTGAGACGTAATGCTACTGCATCTGCTTCTGGAAAAGTTAAAGGTACTTAAAAACACATTTTTTCCAATGGCCGTCAAAATAGTTTAAAACTGCCTCTGGGCCCAAGAAGCGCTTCATGGAGTAACAGTTGTGACCAAAATTGCTTTCTACAAGTGCTGTCCTAAATGAACCCTTAAGGACATTCTTATAAACTGAATAGATAATGTGCCCCTCAGTATTGTAGTCTAGTGGTATTCCTCTTCACTCATAAGTGAAGTATTCGGTTTAATTCTCGCCAAGGGTGAATTCAAACCACATTATTGCTAGCCCATTGTGAGGCTAAGCACCCCCCTCCCTCCTTAGTATAAATAATATCGCTTGTCAAAAAAAAAATTAGTTAAATCAAACGCTCAACGTTCATTTGAAAATACCCAAACAGACTCAAAATGACCCTATACTCCAATCGTACAACACAGACCACCAATAGTCTTTAGGTTAGTCTATCTACAAGCCAAAATCCATCTAGGTATACTTAGCAGGTAAACAGAAGATGCAACAGCCTTAGATTTGTGATGCACAACTCGGTTAAAAAGCCAAACAATGGAAACGCAAGAAGAACCCATTTGCGGCAAAAACCGCAGATTCTCTTTTGAATAATCAACATGCAAATTTCTATTTGATTGTCTAACTGCTGGATGAAAGTGTGGGTAGTCGAGGAGAGGTCATATAGGTTATGATGTTTCTACTTCTACTTTTTGTGTGTTCCAAAATGAGTCTAAAAAGCGTTAAAAACAAGGTGACATTGTAGGCCATAAAGGTATATGTTTTGAAAAGAATGGAAATCAATTGTAATAGCTGCAGAGAATGTCCTAACTTTCGAATAAGCAGCAGCAGCATCTTGCTCATACATTAGGAAACAGGGTTATGGATACTAGGTACATATATGATATGGAAAAGACTCGACCAAGTTAAAAGAAAACCAAAGAGTTGCAATACTGCCCAAAACAACAGTGAAAAAAAAACATATATTCAATTGAAAAACTTGTGTAGTTAAAAACCTAAATCTTGTCAAGTTATCTAATCACACAATATATTTACTTATAGTAATCTTATCGCCCAAGCATATATCATTTGGGTACAACTAGCAAAAGGTGTTACGGACTAAACCTTCCTGTGTTTTCATAAGTGCTTTCCTATAAAAGATGTAAAGCATCCTAACATTCAAGGTTTTGCCCTCACTCTGATACGCACAAAGGTTATCCACTTTCTGGTTATACACCTTATTGCGTTCATTCATTCCCTTAAAACCCTATAAGCATCATACTCATTTGAAACTCAAAATCTGTATCATGTGTTCATATGGATATCATAGTGAAGTATCAACGTGGATATGACATTGAAGTATCGACATGATATGATATTGAACGATTAATCTAGAAAACGAGGGTTACTTCGGGAGTATTATAATCTCATATCCACATTTAGTATCATAATGGTATGTTGGAATAGCTGAGAAGTATCAGTATCTCATATGCACATGGGTCTTTCATAGAAGTATATGTGGTACAAACCATTCTATTGCATCACGGTCTCTTGCAAATCTAAATTGCCATCCAAAAAAGTAACATCTAGGGCTTTAACTGTGACATCAGGCTGAAATTCTACTTCAAACCAAACAGGCATCGGGATTGCACTTTTCAAATTTCTCACAGAAAATGCTGTGTGCTCTATCATAAGTCATAGCGTTTCTTCAATTACATAAAATATTATGATTCTTTAAGTTGCAGCAGGGCAGACATTATTGTTACGAAAGCACATAAACATAAAGCATGCTTCTTCACTCAACAAACATGCAAGAAAACAAGACGAATCACGAGCCATATAGATATATCAAAATCTGATTATACTGATAATTATATAACCCATGTCTAAATTAAACCATAATTGAGGTCCACAAATGCAAATTGAAACTCGAATTTAGCTGATAACTAACTAGTTAGTAAAGATAACCTGGGATCTTGATACGAATAAACAGCATACTCATAACATAGGCGAGAACGACAGAGGAGATCCCAGCAGTGGCATACGACACCTTCACACTTTTCGCCCGATTCCGATCCAGAGCCAAGTCCATGAGCACAATGCCGATCCCACCAAGCACGAACATGAACCCGGACGACAGCCCTTCGATTATGTACTGCCCGTTGACCCGGCCGGGGAGGAAGACGACGGGTCGGATAGACCCTGTGAGGCGGTCCTGAGTTGATCCGATGCCCGGGGGCTCGACGATGACGTCGTAGACGATGCCGGAGACAACCATGAAGTAGGTGAGGAGGACGAGGGCGTAGACGGTCATGGGTGAGGGGAGGGTTAGGGTTGGGAGCTTGAGGCGGAGTCGAGGGGGGCGGAGGAAGCTGTAGGGGAGGATCCGAAGGATGAGGAGAATTGGGTCGACGGAGGCGGTAGATGGGTCGGAGGGCGTGGTGATGGCGGTGGATGGAGGCTGGGTTTCAGATTTCGGGGGCATTTTGGATGGGGCGGATTTGGGTCTGGGGGTTTTGGTGTGGAGAGTCTGTAATGACAGCGCGGGTGATGACTATTGCGAATGTGAGTTCGGTTGGGTTTTGAGTAGTTTTTTATTTTATTTTATTTTATTTTTTTTTAACAAAAGATATTATCTACTCACAATTGGCTACCAATTAGGCCTGACAAACGGATCATGTCTGTCGTGTTCATGTTGTTTTCGTGTAATACCTGTTATCTTAACGGGTCGTGTCGTATCACACCCGTTATCTTAACGGGTCCTTAACAGGTAAGGGTCACTTTACCGACCAGTTATGACCCATTATGACCCGTTAAGAAAAATATTTTTTTTTCTTCTTAAATTTGCACATACCACACATTGCCACATAAATATTACTTCAAAACATTAAAACACATTTGTCGTTTAAGTACTACATCTACACTCGAAAATAAAAGCTTAATAAACAAACATCCATACACTACTAGTCTATTACAAAATATTAAATGTGCAAGGATATGCAAAATGAAAAAGTTTTTGTTTTCAAGGTTGTGAAGTCTTTCTCAAAAGTTTAAACATTGTCAATGGAACTCAAAGCTTGCATGTTATTCCTTTTACAAAATCCTCAATTTTCATCAATCATCATGACATAAGATTTTGTGGTATCCACTTGTGTAAATATTTTAAATTGAAGATCAAATTCATTCATTGTATTCATATAGGGTCAAGGAGTGTAGCTGTAACAAATCATCAAATCGGAGTTAAAATAACAGTTAAATCGTGATTTTTAGTTGATAACCGTCGAAACGTTTTGTCCCGTTACTTGATCTTTGAATGTTTGTTTTTTGCGATTTTTGCCGCATGCGATCTTGAAGCATATACAAACAAGTTTGACGGTTTGATCGTTGAAATTAGTTTCATAGAATGCGTATCCCATGAAAACAATAGATTCACTAACACTTAGAGAGTTTATTTATACTTTCATCAAGTATAACATAAGATTTTGTGATATCCACTAGTGTAAATATTTTAAATTGAAGATCGAATTCATTCATTGTATTCATATAGGGTCAAGAAGTGTAGCCGTAAAAAATCATCAAAATCGGAGTTAAAATAACCGCTAAATCGTGATTTTTCGTTGATAATCGTCAAAAAGTTTTGTCCCGTTACTTGATCTCTGAATGTTTGTTTTTGGTAATTTTTGGCGTATGCAATCTCGAAGTATATACAAAATCATATTTGATGGTTGGATCGTTAATATTAGTTTCGTAGAATGCGTATCCCATCAAAACAATAGATTCACTAACACTTAGGAGTTTATTCATACTTTCATTAAGTATAACATAAGATTTTGTGATATCCACTAGTGTCAATATTTTAAATTGAAGATCGAGTTCATTCATTGTATTCATATAGGGTTAAGGAGTGTAGCTGTAAAAAATCATCAAAATCGGAGTTAAAATAACTGTTAAATCGTGATTTTTCGTTGATAACCGTCGAAATTTTTTGTCTCGTTACTTGATCTCTGAATGTTTGTTTTCTACAATTTTTGGCGTAATGCAATCTCAAAGTATATACAAACATGATTGATCATTGGATTGTTGAAACTAGTTTCGTAGAATGCGTATCCCATCAAAACAATAGATTCATTAACACTTAAGAGTTTATTCATGCTTTCATTAAGTATAACATAAGATTTTGTGGTATCCACTAATGTAAATATTTTAAATTGAAAATCGAGTTCATTCATTATATTTGTATATGGTCAAGGAGTGTAGTTGTAAAAAATCATCAAAATCAGAGTTAAAATAACCGTGAAATCATGATTTTTCGTTGATAACCGTCGAAAAGTTTTGTCCTGTTACTTGATCTTTGAATGTTTATTTTTTACGATTTTTAGCGTATGCAATCTTGAAGCATACACAAACAAGTTTGACGGTTGAATCGTTGAAATTAGTTTCATAGAATGCGTATCCCATCAAAACGATAGATTCACTAACACTTAGAGTTTATTTATACTTTCATTAAATATAATATAAGATTTTTTGGTATCCACTAGTGTCAATATTTTTAATTGAAGATCGAATTCATTCATTGTATTCATATAGGGTCAAGGAGTGTAGCTGTAAAAAAATCATCAAAATCGGAGTTAAAATAACCATTAAATTGTGATTTTGCATTTATAACCGTCGAAAAGTTTTGTCCTGTTACTTGATCTCTGAATGTTTATTTTTTCCAATTTTTGGCGTATGCGATCTCAAAGTATATACAAACATGTTTGACAGTTGAATCGTTGAAACTAGTTTCGTAGAATGCATATCTCATCAAAACAATAAATTAATTAACACTTAAGAGTTTATTCATACTTTCATTAAGTACAACATAAAATTTTGTGGTATCCACTTGTGTAAATATTTTAAATTGAAGATATTAAGTAGATTTAAATTTATTTATTTTGTACATATAACACTTAAGAAATTGAATGGTATGTATATTTAAGCCGATCCAATGGTCACCAATTTTTAATATTTAATTATATATATATATATATATATATAATTATAGTTTTTAGGGGTATAAAATTGTTAAATTAATAAGAAATTGAATGGTATGTATATTTAAGCCGATCCAATGGTCACCAATTTTTAATATTTAATTTAATATATATATATATATATATATATATATATAATTATAGTTTTTAGGGGTATAAAATTGTTAAATTAATATATATATATATATATATATATAATTATAGTATTTTTTTTAGTGTTATAAAAATATAAAATTAATATTTTGCTTATCGTGTATTGTGTTACCCACATGTATACCCGAACCAACCTGTTATCTCAACAGGTACTTATCGGGTTACCCGATAACGATCCGATTCGTTATCTTGTCGACCCGAACACCTGTTAATTTCGTGTCGTGTCGGGTTGGGTTATCGGGTCGTGTCAGGAATTGCCAGACCTACTAACAATAATGTGATTCAAAATCATCTTTGACGAGAATCGAATATAAGACATATCACAAGTAAAGAGAAATATCACTAAACTATAGTACTAAGTGGTGGATTCTGAGTTTTTAGGGAGGGGCAGTTTTGGTTTTTGATATGCATTCTAAGGGCTGGTTTGGTATTGCTGTGCTTTGAAAAGACAAAAAATCCCTCCTGATGTACTGTAAGAATAAGCAACTGTGAAATAAAGCAGTAAAGTATTTGGTAACTATGTGCTTGTTTGGATGTGTTTTAAAATGATTAAAAATGTTTTTGGTGAAAATATTTTTGGAACCAATCCTTAGTAAAAATGCAAGTAAATTATGGAAAAGCACTTAAAGGGCTTCCTAGAAGAAGCATATAGCTGATGCTTCTTACAGAAAGCACTTTCAGTCATTTTCTCTATAGTTGTAGAAGTGCTTTTAGCAAAAAAAGTAGTGTCATAGTGTTTGATAAATTTTTTTTGCTCAACAACTGTGACCGTGTAAAATGACTAAAAATGATATATTGTTGGATATTTGTAATTTTTTACTTTATTTCTTTCTCTAAAGTTTCTTCTTCATCATCTTTTTTTTTTGTCAGCTTCTTTATCATCCTATCTCTCTTTTTTCAACAAAAATTATCTTTTTTTTTCAAACCTCTTTTCTATCTTCTCTGCTCTTTCGCCGCCTACTCCCTCTCTCTCCTTCCTTTCCTCTTCCGCCGCCCACTCCCTCTCTCCCTTCTCTGGCTGTCTCTCTCTACCAGATCCCAAGGAGGGCTGAGTCGCGGAGGAAGGAAGGGTAGGTCACGAAGGTCTGTGTCTTGAACCGATTTGCGGAGGAATGATGGATCCGATTCTGGGACAATGGACCGTCGGTGTTAGAGGCGAAGGCATCAAGCCGTCCATTGAGATTTTAGGTGTCAAGAAGAAGGGTGCAAGTCTAAGCATTCTTTGTTGCAACCCAGGTTTGACGAAGCCCATAAATCTGACGAAGCTCATGATGCTGCTATCTCAAATATCTGGGATTTTTGTGCACATGGCCAAAGTTCGAGCGATCAATTGAAGGAGTTTAATGAACATTTCTGCTAGGCTGTCTTAGATATGAACATGGGGTACGTGATGTTCATCTTCAATCCCAACACTCATGCAATAGACATCGAAGGTTTTCGATGTGAATTCTCTAGCATTATCTATTTGAACCTATTTAATTGGATAATTAGGGTGGTGAGCCATTAGCTTAATAATTTGAGCTAGGAGTTTGGATAATGCAACATTTCGAGTGTATATTAGACACGTGTGACCAATGTGTTAAGAACCGACCAATACCATAAAGTATCTAAATGGTTCACAAAAAGTTGAATAGGTTCACAAAGTTTAAGAGGAAAAATAATTATGATTTACACAATCACACATATACTAAATTATTCACATCAAAACATCAAAAATTACTTTTTTCTAAAGTGCCAATAACAATTTGAAAAGAAAAAGTGTGGCATTCACTCTTGGAGAAATTATAATTTGGTACAATGATACAACGTCACTTGTGCTACTTCCATTCAATATCTGAAAGTGATAAATGAATTTCAAATCTAGTTGTAAAAATAAAAAACACATGTTAAGTTTTTAATGGAAGTATCTAGACCTGTAAACAGGTCAGGTTTATTGGCCTTGGGTCGGGTTTCACTCGATCCATTAATTTAACGAGTCATCCAAACTCAACTCGTTAAGCTAACGGGTCATCTGTTTCACCCGTTTCACCCATTAACAAATTTTTTTTCTTTTCGTTTCACCCGTTGTCCCCGCCTTCATTATCGACCTCTTCTGGGCCGCAGCTCTGGCGGCTTTTTTGTATTTACCTAAGATCCATGAACAAACCACCCAGAGTTCAAAGGACCTCACCGACACTGTTTTCGAATTCCCCGGACGGAAATCTCCTCTGAAGGCTATATACATGATCGAACCGGTGCTCGACCGAGACGACCCTGCTTATTGGGACTGTTGGAAATGTGCCTTAAAGCCAATCATATGATGATACTTTACGGACATTTCACATGTTAAACTAATCTAGTTTAAATATAAAGGGCAAATATTATTGTTTGAGTCGTCTCATAT